GGGTAAATGCACTTACCCGGGTAAGTGTTTCCCAGGAAAAACTTACCCAGGTAATTGCATTTACCTGGGTAAGTAACTTACCGAAAAGCGAACGGGGCCTCAATGTCCTTCCTTGTCTGTCTAAAGTCTGGTCTTTTATCCACCGAATCCATACCAATTGAGGAGGATGATGCTCCTTTAAAAGTTGGTTTTTTCCTCTTTTAAATCTCCACCAGGTTCGACTAAACGACTTCCGGTTTCCATCGAAAACAAACAAAGGGCGAAGATGCAGCAAGCAAGAAACGAGGCAAAAGGATTAACAAAACAAATCTGTTTTAACCTAGTGATTACATGTCAAATCCAACCCGATCTGGCGATCTCCATTCCACAATAAAAGGCAGGGCAAGAGAAAAAAACTCTTACCATTATCTTTAATTTACAACTGTTTTTGGAATACTATACTAGAGGAGAGAGTCACAAATTCATCCAAGTGGGCAAAACTGGGTTTTTGAAAGATTTTAACCTCATTTAGTGTCACTAATAAACGAATCTTGACGGGTTGGATTGTTAGGGGAGGTTTTTGTTTGATGGCATCAATTAAAAAGGGAGCTCTTAGTCCAATTTGAAATAAGAGGGGATGTTTCAGTATTTAAGGGAAATCTTAGGGGAGGTTTAAGTCTTTTACCCTAAAATTTTCAAGGATATAGTGATCTACTCAGCCAGCAACAGCTCTTTGATCCATGCATGTTGATTAATATTCCCCTCCCTACCCTATCATCATCCCAAAAAGATACTCCGATCCTCCCCCTACACTTGAAGATATATCTTTGGTGGTTAAGCAAATGCATCCGCATTAAGCTCCCGATCCTGATGGTTTCACACCATTATTCTACCAACACTTTAGAGTCTGATTGGCCAAGACATCTTTTCCATGGTTCTCAAATTCTTCAATACAAAGTTTCTGTCAAAAGAAATCAACAACACTAATTTGGTCTTTGTGCCCAAGAATAATAAGCCTATGGGTGCTTCAAGTTTCTAACCCATCAGCTTATGCAATGTGCTTTGCAAAATAGTATACGAATGGATGGTTCTCCATCTCTAACCTATACTGCAAGAACTGATTATCAACCGGGATTTCTTAAAGGGAGGCAAATTTCGGATAACATCCTATTGGTGAAGGAGATTCTCCATACAATGAGGTCTTAGCAAAGGGGGAAGGGTTATATATTTCTTACACTAGACATGTCTAAAGCATTTGATAGAATGGGGTGGAGCTATTTATATCATGTTCTAGAAAAGATGGAATTTCCCACAAAATGGTGTAATATGATACACCAATGCATATCCACTGCCACATTCTCAATCAAAATAGCTGGTGAGTTCCATGATCACTTCCATCTACACCGTGGAGTAAGACATGGTGGTCCCATCTCCCCTTATCTATTTATCATTGGTATGGAGGTCCTCACTCGGCTTCTGTCCCATCTCCCCTTGATGGTGTACAGATCTATCCTAATGGCTCCCCCATCACCCATCTCTTCTTTGTAGATGATTGTATTCTATTTTGCAAAGCAAATATAACCCAGGTGAGAGCACTTGCCAATATACTCAAAACATTTGAAACTATGTCCCATTAGAAAGTCAAGCATCTTTTTTAGTAGAAATGTACCATAAGCCACCAACATCATAAGTTCTCTCATATACTATACATCAACAAGTCGCTGATAGGCACTAAGTATTTAGGCATCTAAGTTGGAACAAACACTCGCCTATGTGCCTCACACAAAGAAACCATTGACAGGGTGTCTTTAAGAGTAAACTCCTGGAGCTTTAAACTTCTATCTCAGGCCAGAAGAACCACCCTTGTCAAATTAGTTCTGCAGTCTATACCTACCTACTCAATGTCAACAACACTATTTCCTTCCTCAACAAATTTTCAGCTTGACAAAATAGTATTAGATCCTTCTGGTAGGGTGACTCTAATAGTAAAACCAAGCATACTATCTCTTGGAGTAAACTATGCCGGCCTAAAATCCAAGAGGCTTGGGCTTCAAATCGTATGGAGTCATGAATCAAGCCATGTTTGGCAAGAAAATCTAGCGGTTACTAATAGAAAGCCATGGGGTTTGGAGTAAACAAATAAAAAGAAAGTACTTCCCTCATACCTCCCTGTTTGCAGCTAAAAAAGGTCGACGTATCTCCCATCATTGCCAGGCCATATACCACACTTGAATGCACCAACAACTCAAAATCAATGAGTTGATATAAAAGTCTCAGAGTTACTCAACCCAGACTTGTCATGGAACCTTGTAAAGTTGCAATAGTTATTTGATGATGAACCCACTATCAGTCATATTCTATCAGTTACACCCCAGCCCAACCAGTCTCCTGACCTACTCATTTGGAAGCACAATGCAACGAGGATTTTGCTTCATTGGGTGGCTATAGTTCAAGCACTCATTTTAATTGGAAACTGCTATGGAAGCTCAAGGTGCCATTCAGATTTCAAGTCTTCCTTTGGAAGCTTCTATCGGATGGGTTACTAACTAAAAGCAAGTGTTCCTCCTGGTTAAATCAATCAGGTCAGCTTTGTGTCCTCTGTAAGTAGTAGAAAGAAACTGTATACCATCTATTCTTTCAATGTCCGCTTGCATAGGACGTCTGGTGTGAAGCCCAAGTTGGGTTAAACCCTTCATCTTTGTCACAACAACCAGTGCATATCATCATTACAGACTGGTTCAGGTCTTCATGTGCTAATCTAGGTAAGCAACAAGTGTTGACAAGCCTTAGCATCTTCAGCTTAATTACAGGTGTTTCAAACAATTTGTAATGATGGTCGCTAGAGCACAGAATATTACACCAGATCCATTACAAGTGGTTCAAACAGCTCTCCAATTCTCGCTGGAGCACATAATCTCTCGACCACCGTTATAGTTACACCCACCTTCGTCATCGCACATCAATACCCCCACTTTATATATTGATGGTGCTTTTGATCTAAATACAGGTATGTAGATATGTAGGACGACGGATCATCCTCCAACATGCCAGTGCTCAACTTCTCATTGCAGAGGGCAAAAATCATTCTAGGCCCTCAACAGCAACGATGTTGAAATACGAGCATTGTTAAGAGGACTCCAAGTAGCCCCCACTCATGGCGCAGACCATCCTTTGGTATTTTCAGATAACATTGCATTAGTGGAATTCGTAAATACAGATCGTGCATGCACTCAATGGATCGAGCAACTGCATCGAAGTCATCTTAGGAGGCTCGTTTCCTCTTTTTCTTCTACACATTTTATGCATATTTGTAGACAATATAATCAAACGGCCCATCTTTTTGCTTATATATTATGTAAGGGATAGCTCAGTTTACAGCTCTTGAAACTCCACTCATGTAAATTTCTCTATACTAATGAAGCTATGTTGGTTTGATAAAAAAAAAAAAAATGGTGGTGTAAATTAAGCTGGAGAAGGTCAGGTTGAGGTCAACCCTAGCCAGAGTCAAGGTTCTGAAGCTCCAACGGTAATCCTAATCGACTTTCAACCCAACCTAGTCAAGCCTAACCTTAACCCAACCCAAGCCCAAGCTGACCCGACTTTTCTACTATCCTTTTAAAATCTCTCAAATCCTCTTGACCTATGATTATAAGAGATCTAAACTGAACTTTTATGACCATATTCTAACCATATTGTTTATTGGTATTTATTTGTTTGATGTTTTTAACACAACAGTGAAAAAAAGGAATGTTTCAAATTATTAGGACCTACAGTATATTATAACAGATGTACTAAGAATTTAAGATGATGAAATCAGATAAAAGATAAAATTATAGAATGAAAATCATTAATGACAACTTATCATTAGGATTAAAGCTTAAAGCTCTGTTTTTATGGATTAAAACTTATCCAGGTAAATGCGTTTATTATTCTAAGTAAATATGACAATCCCCATTTTTATCATAAAAGTACATTATTAAAAGTTGTTTCATCCAAACGTTGAAAATTCTCCCCAGGTGAGGAAATTAATTATTCACCTACAAAATTGATCAACTTTCCCCCTCTCAAAATCCCAATAGACCCTACATATATACAATATCAGACTAATTTCATCAATCCTAACCCTAATCGAACCATCAATCCGACCCAATCCAATCCCCGAATTGGGTTTAGGCTAACCCAGTCCAAGATGTATATAATCCGGAGTAGTACACCAAAGCACAAATAAACCCATCAGTTGCCGTTACACCTGGTAGCAGTACGGATGGCTAAGTTGTTGATTTGCAATTTGTTGTCGTACTAGCCCATGTAGCAGATCCAGACCGATCAGGTTGGTGCATCTCCACGTTGCCTCGTACACAAAGCGGTGAACGACACAAGCAAAAACAAAACAAAAGGGTGCCCTTTAAATATAATTGGATTAGGTGAGTGAGTGGAAATGGAATGGAGAAGATTATTCTCCTGGACACGCTTACCCAGAAGAATGTTTGTGGGTCCCTTGCAAGCACCAAATCACATTGATCCGTCAGAAGAATTTCTTTTTTTAATGTTTAAAATATGGAAAAGGAGGGAAGATGGCATCAAAGTAATGATATCTTTCGAAGAAACCGGGCAACCCCCAGTCAGTGGAATGGAATGGAAGTAAGGGTTTAGGTGAGCGTTTGGGTGAGGCCGGTGGGCTGGTTTTCAAAACAACCAATGCACATTCACATTCCACTTCTTTCTTTTATTGCAATTGCATTAGCATTAGCATTAGCGTTAGCTCAGCTCTCTGTCCTACTACGGTACCATGTGAATGTGATTGCAAGAATTTGGATCATCATGGGTCACATACCTTTGCCTTGTTGTAGCTGTGTTGTGTTCTACTTCTCCTCCAATATAACTCCTACTACATACTTTGCTTAATGGAGGTGCTTTCTGGGCTGGAGGAATCTCGATCTAGTAGTGGTGCTGATGAGACTTGACATTCACTGATGCCTGTTTGTCGACAAAAGAAGGGAGAGGTGGGGCAAAAGGAAAGAAAAACTACAAACGATTGAAAGCCATCATCCATTCAAATTTAACAAGTCTTTTTTTTCTTCTGTCCATCAGGGTTACCAGTTTCCACATACATTTCACAAGCTCTTCCTACCTATAACATGCATGAACATAAGTTGTAGTAATTGTAATCCTAATAACCAAAAACAAGAAAAAAACTATTAGTGCCCATTTGCTCCTCCTGTGATAGGAGAAATCATGATTTTAGGCCTTAGTAAAAGCCCTAGAAGCAGTAGTAGTAGTCTTGCCCTGCAAAAGGAAACAGGACTAAAGAAAAAAGAAATCCCGGTTCTCCTGGACCTCTTCTTCTTGCCCTAGCAAGTATCCCATTTTGAAGCCAACCTAAAATGAGCTTCAAATCTTCACAATGGCTAAAGAGTACAGAGAAATAATTAAGAAAAAGAAATAAACAAAACCGTGTATCCCATCTGTTAGCAGTCTGAACAACTCCAAACAAGTCACCAGCCATGTAAGAAGAAGAGAAACACCAGTTTCTTCCTTTCCTCGTGCAATTATGGATTTCTTTTTCTTTTTTTTTTTCTTCACCTCAGCTTCTACTTTACCATGATCCTCCACCTAACGTCCCATTCCAATACCCAGTTGAATCTCCTTGTCCTCTATTCTGCTCAATATCATTTGTGTTTGAGACTTGTTTCAGATCCTCAAAAGGAAATAAAAGTCTGCCACTACTCTCTTCAACCCCTTGGAGATTTCCATACCCACCTCCAACTCCAAGTCCATCAAGAGAAAAACCAAGGCTTGGCTTGAAATCCTGCAAAGCAAATCCAGTTGGGTAAAACGAGTTCGAATCTAGAATTGGTATCGGCATGAAAGAATTCAACCCCCTTGAAGTAATTCCACTTCTCAGCAACTCAAGAGCCGAAAGTGAAGGTGTAGCAGTGGAAGAAGAACAAGGGTTAGGGCTGTCTTCGTTGGTGGTGGTCTCAATCTTGGGTACTCGAGCAAATTCGGAGATAGCCTGGAAATCTTGCGCGTATGGGAAAGCCAGGTTGAGGTCTTGCCCTTTATGGATCTTTAGGTTTTGAGAAGAGGATGTAGAGCTGGTTGGTGGGGTAAGATCAGGCAGCTTTTTTGAGGAGGCTGAAGCTGACGAATTTGAAGATCTCTTGTTCTTTCTTGAGCCTCCTCCAACAGGAACATTTCTGAGAGATCCACCTTCAGTCCAGTACCTTCTACAAGTCTTGCAGAAGTATCTTGGTTGAGTGAGACTATAGTTGTTGTAATAACAGAATTTGGTGCTTGTTGAATTGCACCTTGGACAATTCAAGGCTTGTTCTTTCTGAGGCTTGGCTCTCCTCTCTAACATAGGCCTCGAACATGCATTAGAGACCACCTCCTCCATTGGTTTCACCAGTCCAATCTCCTGGAACCCAAACAACCCAAAAAAAAATGAAATGATAAAAATAAAAACAACACACACACACACACACATATATCTAGATCATAACTCAAACATCTAATAAAAAGATGAAAGCAAGAAAATAATAGCAACAAACAGACAAAAGAACCAAACGATGGTGCATTAACTTTCAAGATTACACCAGCAAAAAGAAAGGAGAGAAGAGAAAGAGAAAAAAAAGGCAAATAACAATAACAAAAATTACCTTTTCCGTTGCTTTTGCGCATTGGCGAAAAGAAAGATAAAGTGCATTACTTTCAACACCAAGTGAAAAATTTAAATGATAGCCATCATCTTATTTCCTTTTTCTTTCTCCCTTTTTTAAAGAAGAAATCATCCACAACAATTTCTTCCAAAACAATTCAAATTGATATGGATTAGCTTTAGAAAACCAGGTCCCAGAAAAGAAATCCTATATATAATTTCATTGAAATGAGGAACTAAAAAGCAGATCCATACCTGTGGCCATTGAGCAGTATCCATGGCAGAAAAAGAAGAAGAAGAAGAAGAGTCTTTCGTGTCTTCCGAGAAAGAAAAGAAATCACCTTCTTTAATTCGTGGAAAAGGGTCTTAGAGCAAGAAAGAATGTCTGATATGGCTTGTGCAGTGGCTTTATGCATTGGCTTACTATATCTATATGAATGAAAGAGAGAGATGGGTTGTTTACATTTCTTCACAAACACCTACCATGAACCCTGATATTATTAGCATATTTTATTCTTTTGTTATCTTATAAATAAATTTTATTCACATGCGGGTTTTATTCTTTGTTGACTTATGGGTGGGTTGTGTATATATACAGTATAGTGTATAGTGCAATGGCAAGTCAGGATTCTTCTTCCCTTCCCATTCTCCTTTTGGGGAATTGCCTGATTGGGGTTTCTCTTCAGTTTGGTATTTGGTAGAAATTCGGTTCAGGCAGGCTCATTCCTAGACCTTTAGTCATGTTGGCACCCCGATGTCCAAGCCCAACAAGGAAACCCATCATCAATTTTTATCCACTCGATTGGTGGGGTACAAGAGATATAGATCGTTGAACCAGAATCTTTAGTAAATGAGAAAAAGATGAGGAGAGGGTGTGTCAATTGTCATGTGTCCCGTCAAGAAAGGGAAGATGGAAGGCAAGAGGCGACAAAAGAACCATGGTGGGACCCAGTTAATGAGAGTGGCTGAGTGGGAATAGAGGAGGAAATAAAAATTAGGGCTTAGGGAGGGGGTTGTGACAAGGATACGTTGAATTTATTGAAACCGCCAAATCTGAGTGGCGATCTTGGCTGCTGCCCCCACTACCCTAAAAAGTTGGTGGGGAAGGGTAAGGTGTGAACTCTAATCTCTGAACTGTAAACAGAATGTAGGCACCGATATTAATCCACGTGGCGTTTTTGACTGTTCGGCTCGGCTGCTGCTTCCTCCTTCTAAACTCGAATCCGGATTTCCTCCTCGCAAGTGCTTTTCGCTATCGGTAGACCTCTGACTGCCGGATTGGTGGAATCGGATTGATGCATCGAAAAGAGAGAATGGGAGATGTGTGCTTGGTGTGGTGGAAATAGATAATGAAGGTAAGGGTTTATTCATTCTAGGCGAGCGAGGGTGGGCTTTGCCTCTATATAAACAGAATATGAATAGGCCTGAGCCCAATGAAAATGGGAATACAGAATTTAAAACAAACTAGGAAATGAAAACATTTTTGGGTGGCAAGTTAGTGGTTCACCCATTTAAGTCAAGAATGGATAACATTAGAGTGTTTGATTATAAAATTCTTGCCATGGGCATCATTCTTTTCAAAATGAAAAATCAACAAAAATTGAAACATCCTGCAGCATGAAAGATAATCATGCCCCACCTTACTCATTTTCATTTCTTAAAAAAAAACTCTATGTCAACGGTCATTAATCACCATCCTAAGTTTACAAAACCACCACCATTAATGTTTATTGGCGGACTGTCGGGAAAACTTATGCCAACAAGCATTGATCATCAACCATCCACTGGTAAACATCTATGCGATGATTTTTGAGACATAGGTGGGTGGTTTATGACTACTAACAGTTTTGTTTAAAAATGAAAGAAAGCAACATAGGACACTGGCTAGCTTGAAAAGAATTTATTTTTAAAATAAAAGTGTTTGGTTTATAACAATATTATCTCATTCTACCCATTCTTATCCATTTTAGAATTTTATCTTGAATAAGAATGAGAAAGAATGAGATTTGAACCAAACATGACCATAATTAACTCTAGTTCCCTTTTATAAATAAGAAGTTTAGCATATTACCATTTATGGATACAATAATCTTCCTTATTTAATTTCTTTTTCATTCTTAGGATACGAGAGGGTATTTGGTTGGAATTATTTCCATAAATCATTAAGACTTGTAGCTCAAAATTGAATTTGAATGGTCCCATATGGACACACCTCTTATGTTAATGGATTTGCAATAGCGATGGCCAAATACCAAGGTCTATGTCCATATTTGAGAATACAGGGCAAGGCCTAAATAGAAAGGATCCACACTAAGGCCCATAAGCAAATTCGAGTTGGGGATAGGGTCCATTTTAAAAAAATAGAAATGCATTAAAAAATTTCTAACATTATGTATGATCAATTCTATATCTACCCATCTTTTGTTTTGTTGTCTTTTTCGTGTTCGGTAATGGATTAATTCAAGTCACATATTAATTGGAATTATAGGTAAGCAAAATAATTAGTAAAAAAGCAACTTGTTTGCAGATGATGATATTTTTTTCCAGCTTTCAAAATCAGTCATTTTTGCATTATAGACAACTTTTAAAATTTGAAATTAATTATATACCACAGTGACAAATTGGGTTACTGCTTTGTGTGGCAAACATTTGCTATCGGCAATTAATCAGCAATAGAAAGCAACCACGATGTTAGCACCTAGCTACCGGTAAATAAAAAAAATCAAAAAGTGATTTTTTTCTTTTTCTGATAAGACTCACAAGATATCTAGACCCAGAGGTCATCCGGGTTCACTAGGAATTGCTGGTGGGGTAGGACAATAGATTCACAATCTCTCACATTTTCCATTTTGTGGGGCTAACACAGAGAGAGGGAGCTTCATGTGTATTAGGAGCAATGGTTTGGTGAGGAAGGCAAGCTACAGTCGAACTTGGCCTTAATTGTTCTTGTATAAAGCTATGGCCAAACTGAACGGAGGGGTCTTACAGGGATGGCAGTTGATAGACTTCAAGTAGTTGGGACCAAGGGTGAGATGGTTAGGAGAAATAAAATGATAATTTGCATATAATATATGTCACTATATATTAAGTTCACATTTTGAGGACCTACACCACACATTTTGACCGTTGGATGTGGTTTGCATTCAAGATCCACCGTTGGATCTCAAAATCGGCCATTATATGCAAGACTGGATAATTTGGACCATTGGGTTAACTCAATGGATCCTAAATATCAAGTAAGAGTGTCACATCGAATCACCCATATGGTTGTTTCTTGAAACGCCCCACCAAATAGCCAACCATGAAAAAACGTTTATTTTTGCTGAGTTGTAAAGTAACTTTATGGGTTGTTTCTTGAAACGCCTAAAAAACATCAAACCAAACAAATCTATACTACTTTAAAAAGCACGAATAGCCTTAAGAATATTTCTGGAATTTTTTAGGATAAAATTTACCCTTCCATATTTAAATTTATTGATAAAAAATGAGAACAAAAGAGTAACCAATTATTGATATTAAATGAGTTRAGAAGAGACAATTATAAGATATTCAATGTATTCAATTTCCTCTCATTAAACCCAACAATTAAGGTATTAATTTGAATTCACCTTCATTGAATCATATATTTAAGGCATTTTTTTTCTCATCATTAAATTCTATTAATTAAATTCATGCATAATAAATTAATAATTCCAATAACATAAAAACTAAATTCTACTTGAAAAAATAGAGTTTTCATCTAGATGGTGATAAGAAATTAAATAATATAGAAAATTCAAAATAGATAAAATGCAATAAATATATAAATTTAAAAAATGAGAACATTTTTAACATCATATATTTGACATATTAAACAATAATAAGTATGATAAATAAGAAATATTTTTATTAATGATAAAAATGGAATGTAAAATTTAAAATCAATTAGAAATAAAACTATTTTTTCATTCTCTCTCATTAAATCTCATACTAAGGTATATTCTCTCATTAAACCCATAAAACTAATTTTAATAGTATAAAAATAAATATTTTGAAAAATAATTTGAAAACAAAACTATTTTCTTTCCTCCCATTTGTGGGTAAGAAATTCAACCATTTGGGGTCAAATGGGAAAATAAATAATGTCACAATTAAATAATAAAAAATTAAAATAATTAAAATATATAATACAAAAAATAAAAATTTTACATATCTTTAATAATTGTATATTCATCATACTAAACAAAAATACATATGAAATGTAAGAAGTAATTTTATTAGTGATTAAAATGGAAAGCCAAATTTAAAATCAACCAAGAAATGAAATAAAGTCATAGTCAAATAATAAAATTTTTAAAAATAGAAAATTGAAAGAATAACAAAAATAAAAGAAATAGAAAAAAATTTGGGCACATATCTAATGTTATATATTCCTAAAAATAAATATTGGGTACATCTCTAATATTATATATTCATTATATTGAACAGAAATAAGTATTATACATAGAAATAATTTTATCAATGATGGAAATGCAATACAAAATTTAGTGTCAACATAGAAATCAAACTATTTTCCTTTTTGGGTTGCATGTGGGTTAGTGGTTTAGGTCAAATGGATCTATCGATGATATGATAGTTAAATAATAAATATTTAAAAAATAAAAAGTACAAGTAATCAAGAGAATATATAAAAAAATTATATATTAATTATATTGAACAAAAAATAAGTATGATAAGTAAAAATTATTTATATAATATACATGATATATAATTTAAAATTGATCCGAAAGAAAAGAGATTTTCTTATCTAGATGGTGGGTAAACGATACAACTTTTCAAAAAAAATTCATGATGTCATAATTGAATAATAAATATTTAAAAAAGATAGAACACAAACAATGAAAAATATAGAATTTTGTTGCATTTGAGAACATTTATTATGTTATATATTCATCATAATAAACAAAAGTATTTATTAAAATAAAAATTATTTTTATTTATGATAAAAATGGAATATAAAATTTAATAATAATAATAATAATAATTATTATTATTATAATAGTAATAATAATTGTTATTGTAATTTAAAATTTTCACATGCAATGCATGTGCACATTTACTACAAGCATTTGAGTTTATTTTTAATCATATTATTACTTTTGTTAATTTTCAATTTTTATCCTAACTATGATATATCTAAAATTTAAATAATTAATATACAAACAAATTCCTACATGTATGTACTTAATTACTAATAAAGAAAAACGTTTAAATTTAATGTTATATCATCTAAACATTTATCAGATAAATGCTCCCCAATAAACACCAACGGTACCAAATACTTTCTAGGTTGCTTAAAAAGGAACTCAGAAGTCAGAACTACGTGATATACTGATATAATGAATGCGCATAGCAATTTCGTTGATTCTTTCTCCGTCTAACACTACTTTACTTAGAAATCCTATTTTGGATCTTTGGATGGGATCGATTTGGATCGTCATCCCCTCTGATCCAATT